GCAGGAGGATCATCTAAGCTCAGGAGTTTGAGACCGGCCTGAACAAGAGTCTGAGATTGCTGTGAGCTAGGCTGAGGCCAGGGCACTCCAGCTGGGTGACAGAGCAAGACTTTTATCTCAAAAAAAAATGAAAGAGAAAGAAGAGGAAAGGCGAGAAGGAGAGGAAGGAGAGGAAGGAGAGGAAGGAGAGGAAGGGAGACAGAAAAGAAAATTTTAGGCCGGGTGCAGTGGCTGAAGCCTGTAATCCTAGTACTCTAGGAGGCCAAGGCAGGTGGATTGCCGGAGCTCACGGGTTCCAGACCAGCCTGAGCAAGAAAGATTGAGACCCCGTCTTTAAAAATAACCGGGCATTGTGGCAGGCGCCTATAGTCCCAGCTACTTGGGAGGCTGAGGCAAGAGGATTACTTGAGCCCAAGAGTTTGAGGTTGCTGTGAGCTGTGACACCACTTGACACTCTACCAAGGGCGACAAAGCAAGCAAGATAATGTCTCAAAAAAGAAAAAAAGAAATTTTACAATAATGAAATAATTTAGATTTTATCTAAAAAAAGAAAATAAATTTATATTATAATTGAAACCATATGCCAATTTTCACAACAAATAAGTTTAATTATAATTAGCACATAAGTACAATTTTCACATAAATTAATCTAGGAGAATGTATATCATTCTGATAGTTCTATGATAAGCAAAATAAAATTTCTCTTGTTCTTACCTTTTGCAGAAAATAGGGTTTTTTTACAAAGGCAAAAAGCATAAAAAGGGTCATTTTTGTAAAAATATTAGAAAACTTCATCAATTTTTCCTAAGTGCCTCTAAATCCTTTCATATTCAAATAATACTCTTTTGGAAACATCCACAATGCTAATGCTTCAGAGGGGCTTTCTGTCAGTGTATCTGCATGTGATTCTGGCAGTTCACTCATTACTTAAATTGACTAAGAAAGGCTCAATCTTTTGCAAGATTTCCATTTTATCTCACCTAAAAATCAATTTGCATTATATTTGCATTTTATTATAATATAAACACCCAAAATAAGGGAAAGACTGATATCAACAAGCTATTGAATGATGAGACATGTCTGAATGGGGCTAATTTTATAAGGATCATTCATTAATGACTATTTTTTATTCAGCAACAATTTCTTCTTTCCTTACTTAATCTTACTGGCAGAATTCCTGTAACTACTAACATCCACTAAGTGTGTCAGACACTATTTTGAGTTTTTCTTGAGACCCAGTATTTCTCTGTTGCTCCAACAGAGTACGGTGGCATCATCATAGCTCACTGCAACCTCAAACTTCTGGGCTTAAGAGATCCTCCTGATTCAGGTACACACTACCACCTGAGGCCAAGTTTTCTGGTTTTTTTTTTTTTTTTTGAGGCAGTCTTACTATGT